AGCAAACCGCATTATTTCTTAACCCCCATTATAGAAATCAGTCTATAATTTGACAAGAAAAACCTATTAAAAACTTTCCCTCAGATATGATTTATCTTTTCATCTAAAATCCCAGTTAAAGATGATTATAACTATGCTTAAAGGAAAGGCAGGAGGAATAAAATGAAGGACAGCTAGATCTTTGCATGATTATTTTTTTAAATTAATTTATTTTTGTTACAGATGTTTCTCCTTTTTCCCCCATTGACACCCTCCTCCTGATCCCACCCCTGCCAGCATTGTCTATGTCCATTGGTCAGGCATACATGCACATAAGTTCTTTGCTTTATCTCTTCCCTTTCCCTTGCCCCCCTCCTGAGGTTTGTCAGTCTGAACCCTACTTCTATGTCTATTTTGTTCATCAGCTTATTTTATTCATTATATTTGACAAATAAGTGAGATCATGTGATATTTTTTCTATTAAACTCTACTTTGAGATCATTGTAGATTCATATGTAGCTGCAAGAAATAATTCAGAGAGATCCCATGTACTCTTTATGCAGTTTCTCCCAATGATAAGATCTTGCAAAACTGTAGTAAGGTATCACCACCAGAATACAGTGTGAGGCAAAAGTAGCTTTACAGTTGTGAGTACACGAAACACAATTTATTCTTGTATTGTTTTTTTATTAATTACTGTATTATTTTCCATGTGAACAATTTTAAACCTACTCTTGTTCCACTCTCTATTAATACTGATGCAAGGGCCATCAATCTAAAATTTCTCCATCTTTATATACTCTGTGTGTGTATTTAGTTCTGTTGAGTTTTGTAATGTGTTGATTTGTGTCACCTCGGTTCTATCCGTACAAGGTTCTTTCCTGTTGTTTTCATAGCCACAGCACCTGTTCCATCCCTAAGCCCTCATAATCACTAATCTTTTCTCTATTCCTGTAATTTTCTCATGCAATCATACAGTACGTAACATTTTGGGATTGGCTTTTTTCTCTCTAACCCTAATTCCCTAGAGATTCATTTAAGTTCTTATATATATCACTCATTGGTTCTTTCTTGTTACTGAGTAGTATCACATAGCATTGATGTACCACAATGCATTCAATCATTCACCCATTGAAGGACATCTAGATCGTTTCTAGTTTGGGGCTATTGTGAATTAAGTTGCTATAAACATTCATGTATGGACTTCTGTATGAGCATAAGTCTTTATTTCTCTATAATAAATATCTAGGGGTGCAATTGTTGAATTGTATCATAGTTGCTTGTTTAGCGTTTTAGGAAACTGCCAGTTTTCTCCAGTGGTTGTACCATCTTAATTTCTATCACCAATGTGTGATTGATCCAATTCCTCACCATTCTCAGCTTTTGGCAATGTCATTATTTTTCATTTTAGCCATTCTGATGGGCATGTAGTGATATCCCACTGTACTTCTAATTTGCATTTCTCTAATGACTAATGATGTCAAACAATAAACATTTGGGACATATTTTTATATGCTTATTTGCCATCTGCATGTCCTCTTCAGTGAACTATATAGTCATGTCCTTTGCCCAATTTCAAAATAGACTGTGTTAGGGTATTTTTACTGTTGAGTTTTTATTCCATTATGGCAAGATAATATAGTCAATGAGTTCAATTTCTTTTCAATTTTGGGGTGGCTTAGAATATGTTTTATATCAGTAGCTTTTCCATGGATGCTTGACAAAAATATTTATTCTGCTGTTGCTAGGTGGAGTACTCTAAATACTGAATGTGTCGATTATATCCTGTTGGTTGATTTTGTTCATATCTTCTATATCTTTGCTGATTTTTTTTCTAGTATTTCTATCATTTGATGAGAGGGGGACATTGAAATATCCAACTATAATTGTAACATAAATATATTTTAATATATTTTAGATTTTAATTGAAAACATAAAAACAAGTAGAGCACATAAAAAGGAATGCAAAATTACATATAATGTGTAATTTATTATGATACAAATACATGTAGAAAAAGTATGCCAAAATTAATGGCAATTATACATGGTGAGAGGGTTATAGATAACATACTCTCCATCTTTAGAGTTTTTTTTTGTAAGTTCCAAAAACAATATTAAAAAATCTTTAAAATTACTGGTTGAATGGATAACATATATCTTAATTTGCTGATATTTGATAACTCAAACAATGCCATATTTTGTTCAAGATTTATTGTCCTCCTTAGATCTTAAGGGATCACTCAAAATTATGTCCAAGAAATATAGTGGGCAAACACTCACCATATACTATTTAATTAAAGGGGAATCTATTAACAATATCAATCTTAGTAATTATGATCCTATTTTTTTTGAAATATGTGGTTGTGTTTTTAAAAATGGGACCCATAGCATAATAATTAACATTGGTTATTTCTGTTATTAGTGGGAAATGCATAATTTTTATCTGTGTTTTTAACAAATCTTGAAATTCTGGTGTACAGTACCATAATTTTTGAAAATAGGTGTGATATTTATTTCTTAAAATAACTGCAATACCTTAGAAAAAAGTATTTAATGAAGTATTATCATTTTATTTTCAAAAATTATCAAATATGTTTTATAAAATATGTATTTTCTTATTAAATGTGAGCTTGTGATTTTAATTTACTATTGAAATTTCATTTAATGTCTAACTACTTATCAAAACAGCAACTAAACCCATAAAAGGATTTCATTGCATTTTCCCTTTAATAATATGCTTTAAATTTGTCCATGTTTCATTCAAAAATATTGTAAGGCTTCATTTTGAAATAAAAAAACTGACACCTGATATTATTTTTTCTAATTAAAAATTTTCTCACTGATATATCAGGTAGTTTAAAAGTTTCTTACCTTATCTCTATAAGTTATTTCCTCAAAGACTTGGTGTATAGTTTTAGACAACTATTAATGTGAACAAAATCATTTTTCCTACATTCAAGCAAATGTATACCAAATTAAAGTCCTTCATCTTCCGGAGAATTAACTTCGCAGTCTTTGCAGATGCCTGCGTAGAAATTTTAAAATTCAGTGAAATGCCTGGACTGCTTTTTATAATCATGATATCAGTGTTTTGTCTACATTTACATATAATTCTACCTTTAAATTCAACATATTCCATAAATGTTTGCCTTATTGCAAAGCTTACCTCAAAGATATACCACTTTGGCAAAAACAAATAAAGTAATCTTTGATAAAATCAAGAACGTTCTCTATCTTACAATACCTGATTGATAAAACAAGATTACTACAGCTATGCATAAAAACCTACCCAGCAGGCTGCCTGTTTTCCATTTTAATGCGAATTGAAAAATTATCTTTGTCTTTCAGTGTGGTCTCACAGTTTGGTTTTATGAAGTACTCCCTTTAGTGTGTTAAGATTGATTATTTTTATTTCTTTTCTGGCCTCAAGTCTCATAGAAGTAGAAAATATTACAGACATTCGATGATAAGGCATTTTAGTCTTCCCTTAGTTTTGGTGTTCAGAGACAAAGCCTTTAATATTATTAAATCTGGAGGTTGGCTTCCTCTTGCTGTGTTGGATCTGAATGTCCTCACGGAAGCAACCCCTTCTACTCTCTCAGTGACCCCCATTCATCCCACAAGAAGTGTGCTTGAGAAAGGAAGCTGTTTGCTCCACCACCTTAAAGAGGAATACAGCCCTGGCTGGTTTGGCTCAGCGGTTAGAGCGTCCACCTGCGGTCCAGAGAGACCCGGGTTCGGTTCCCGCTAAGGGCACGTACCTCGGTTGCAGTTTGTCCCCGGCCCTGGTTGGTCGTGCGGGTGGCAGCCACTCGATGTGTCCCTTTCACATCGATGTTTCCCTCTCTCTCTCTCTCTTCCTCTCTCTCCCTCCCGCTCTGTCTGTGCAAAAAGTGGAAAAATGTCCTCGGGTGAGGATAAAAAAAAAAACATGGGAAAAAAAATAAAAAGAGGAATACAGACAGACGGGGCTGACTAGAGGGAGGCAAAAGAAGGGGTACGGGGATATCTGTAATACTCTCCTACAATAAAGATAAATTTTTAAAAATATATGAAATGTGTGGCTTGTTTGTTTCTTTGTGTTGTTTCTATAACATTGAAGAGTCCAGGAGGTTTGGGTATGTAAGGCTTGAAAAAATAATGCTGATTTTATTTAGAATATAAAATTATTCAAGAAGTCCTAGCATTTTAATACTGTGATGTATACTAACAAACAAAACTACACAGTAGAAAAGAACAGAGATGCAGATGCCCTGCGCACAGTCACTAAACAGAAGGTGCAGTTTTTCCTTTCCCATCAGCCTTGATTCCAAGAACAGCAGAAAATTCTGAGGGGGTGAGAGTGCTGAGCTACACTTGTCATATTATTGACACTCCTTACTATTTGGGGTTCTCCAAAAAAAAATTGTTTTTTCTCTACAGTTTATTCATAGTGTCCAGAAACCAGTGGCTTCCTGGAATTTTTATTAAGAATTCCACATTCTTGCCATGTTTTTCAGATACTGTGGCCTCTGCCAATAAATTCTAATAAATTTTTACTTCTTTTCTTTCAATAACATCCTAGAGAACATGATTCAGACTCAAATTAATCACCGATCATGTTAATGGCTCCTAGGAGTTTACTTCCGATACCTCTTATTCCATTAAATCAAACTTGATAGTGTGCTAGATCATTGCTCAGCTGGGTTTCCATAAAAGCACTGGTATTTAATATAATTTATACCTGGTTTTCTGTGAAGGTCTTTGCTTATTGTGTGCTTTATTTTTAAAACATTCTTAGCAAATGACACTCCTTTAAAATAGATCATACTTCTAAAACATTTTACAGTTAAATGTGTTACTTATTTCATATTACAGTCACATAATAGTGAACAAAAACAATTTATTTAATTTACAATCAAAATATTAATATTTTACTTGTAGTTTGGTAAAGGAGGTGTACATATATATGTTTTACTTATTTAAAAGATAAATTATATTCCAAGATTACTAGAATATATAAAGTGTTGTATTTTTTTAAGCTTTGCAGCAAAGGGGCAGTTCTGGGAAAACCATTTGAAGCATCTGCTGAAGATATAGCAAGCGTAGCAAGTTTCATTGAGACAAAGCTTGTTATATGCTATCTACGGATGAGGAAACCTGACCTTGCCTTGAATCATGCACACAGGTAAAATGAAATATTAATAACCAAAAGTAAGTACTATCTATGCAAGCAAAGATATTATGTGAACTTGTGTTATTAATTTCCATTCCACTGAAATTTCAGGACAAAACAACAAAACATTTCTTCATGACTTGATCTATGTTAAGCTAGGCGATCATAGATACCACAAAGAGCATCTCAAAACCTAATGAAAGAAATAGACGTAAATGACTATTTCAAAATGCAGGGCAAAATAAAAAGGCAAATAACTGTGGTAGCAAACTATTATAGGAAGAAAGGAGGGAGCAAATAAGGTAAGTAAGGGAGGTGATACTCAAGGATAAGAGAATTTCCAGAATTGTACAAAATACGGAGAATGGTGGAGAGGAATTCTGACTGTGAAGCCTGGGCCTTGAAAGTTTGTTGCTTATTTTGGGGGATGGCATAGCAATCCCAAGGATGCTATGCAGGGCGTTAGAGCTGTCCATGGGTATGAAACAGTTTTTATCTATGTCCTTAACAGTTTGTTTTTTTATTTTTATTACTTTTCAGAACTCTGTATTGTTACATTATCTTGTGACTTCCCAGAACCCCCAGGCCTATTTTTTTCTATAAAATTATTCCTCTCTCATGGCCTGTTTCTTAAAAGCTTGCTCTTCTCCTGGGTAATAATCAGTTTAATCTATATCAAAGATAAAGTGATTCTGTTACACTTTTCAAATAACTCTTTCGTTAGAATTATGATGTTTCTATCCCTCCCTGCCTGCCTTAGAGCAACTTACCTAGAACATCCGTCTTGTCCATTCTCAGTCTGTGTTCTTTTGAATACAAACAGCAAAACTAACACCAACATGAAAGAAAAATCCCTGCCCTGTTAACCACAGGAAACACAACTATCAGTCATATTATGACCTATGATGTAAGCAGGAGATCTGCCAACATAGTAAAAGTCACTTACAACTCCACATCCACGAATACATGCAAGTTCTGCCTGAGATTCTTCAAGCCCTGAAGAGACGTCTAGCTTGTAGGCTTAAGATCGACATCAAGGACCTGCAGGCAATACATTCGACTTGAAATTCACAAGATAACCTGTGTGGAAAATATTTTCCTGTTTAAATAAACTACAGAACCTAAGGCATATTCTCTTTGGTGCTGAAAGAAAATTCATCTCCCTATAGTTTCCAAACCCGGTATCAGGACATATGGCCTGTGCAAGAATTATATTCCATTTCCATTTAAAAGAACCAATATTGGAAATGGAAGCTGTGTTTTAGTGTGTCAAAGTATTGGAATATCTGGGCTACTAGGGTGACTTGTGAGCACTTTGGGGAAAATATTTGAAATTGGGGTTAGCCCAGAAGATCTATAGGCATATGTAAACTATAATGAATTGAAATGCACTAAATTATGTATCACCTTCTTCGTGGCTTTCACTACAGATAGAAAGGGCCCTGGATATCAGAATAGTTTGATGAATTTTCAAATCACTTATTATACAAGGGTTCCATCTGGTATGGTCAGGTCAAAGTTCTATTGAGTATTATAAAAATAAGAAATGAGCCCTGGCCGGTTTGGCTCAGCGGTTAGAGCGCCCGCCTGCGGTCCAGAGAGACCCGGGTTCAGTTCCCGCTAAGGGCATGTACCTTGGTTGCAGTTTGTCCCCGGCCCTGGTTGGTCGTGCAGGTGGCAGCCACTCGATGTGTCCCTTTCACATTGATTTTTCTCTCTCTCTCTCTTCCTCTCTCTCCCTCCCACTCTGTCTGTACAAAAAATGGGAAAATGTCCTCGGGTGAGGATAAAAAAATAAAAAAATAAATAAATAAATAAATAAATAAATAAATAAGAAATGAACATGTTTCAAAAATTCCTCTAAAATCCAAATATAAGATACAATTAAATGCTACAATTCCTGAGGATGAAAGAACTACCTAAAATAATTTCACTATTTAGACTTTAAAACTTTTGTTTTAAAACTAAGAGTGCTCTTTCAAGACCTTGAAAATTGCTGAGGGGAGGATATATAATGGTGAATAGTGAAATCATCTTCCTTATATGCTAGATTTAATTTTTGTATCCTTTTTATATTTTAAAATAATGTTTGCTTCTGTTTCTAAATTGAAAATTAAGTAAGAAATGCAAATCAATAGAGGTTAAACAGCCAATTCATACAATTAATAATGCACCATGTGAAATAAATCATTTTACTGGGCTTGCCATATTGCAGAACTGTATAAGTAAGTGCATATAATTCTAGTATTGAAATGTTTTCAAAGAGCTCAGATTTAAAAGCAGACATTGAAATACAATCAATATATTTCTAAATTAATCAGGATACTCAGTCTATAAATAGCTTAAAACCATTAGTTATACTCTGAATGCAAAATGTTGCCTTTGTATTATTATCATATTGTGATGATTGATTCTAATCATGAATCAAAATTAAAATATTCCTTTTTGCATTTATTTGCATTTGCCTAAGCATCCTTTCTTTAATTTTATGTAAATGTGAAGTCTTCTGCATATCGTTCATTTGCAATAACAAAAGATATTTGTTAACACAAAAATTAGCTTAAAACTATCATGTAGTTTGTTTCTGATAAAAATAAATGCATGTTGTTTTGTCATGTAGAAGACTATGAGACCATAACTTTACAGTTTTCAGTTCAACAAAGATATATTTTAAAAATAATTAGGTGGGGTCTGGCTGGTGTGACTCAGTGGTTGAGCGTCGACCCATGCACCAAGAGGTTGTTGGTTCGATTCCTGGTCAGGACACATGCCCAGGTTGTGGGCCTGACCCCAGTGGGAGGCATGCAGGAGGTGGCAATCGATATTCTCTCCCATCAATATTTCTATATCTCTCTCTCCCTTTCCCTTTCTCTCTCTCTAAAAAATCAATAAAGAAAAATAAGTAAAATTAATTAGGTGAGTATTACCATTTGAATATGATGAAAAGTGATACAAAGTCTCTAGAAATAATTATTAACAAAAATATATTTTTTATTTTAATAACATATTCAACGTGGCAAACATGGACATCATTTTTTTTTTTTTACTTTAATCAAGAGTGATACCTAAATTCACCAGTCAAACATATCAAGTCTGTACTTCATTAAACTAGTGTCATTGTTTATCAGCAGGTGTTTTGAACATTCTAGACTGATTTCTAATTACTGGTAACTTATCAAGAGTAGAAATTCTTCTATAACTCTTTTCCCATCATATAATTATATCTTGATGTATATAATTGTAAAGATTCTAATGATGCATGTCGCTTGTTTGCATATTTCTCACCTTTAGATTTTTGTTTTTGTTGCAGAATTTTTATGCCACACGGTGGCAAACAAATGAAGTGCAAATACTGAATATGTGGAAAAGATTCTGTTTTCAAAATTGCTTTATAATGGTGATATCTACATTCATTCATTCATTCAACATATATTTATTGACTTCCTACCAAGAGCCTGTGCTAGGTAGTGAGGAGGCCATTGTAAACAGGAAATATATGGTATTTATACATAGTGGAAAACTAGCCAACAAAGTTAAAAATAAATATTAATAAATCTATGAGAAAAGAGTATGATAAATATTATGAAGAAAATAAACATAATTTCATGTTACAGAGGCAGCATGTATGGTATAGTGAATCAGAGCACAGAATCTGGAATCTGACTGCTAAGATTTAAATTCTTACTCCCCTACTCACTGCTTAGTCTGAATTTAATTCTTTACAAAATTGAGTTATAATAATAGTATCTACTTCACAAATACTATCTCACGGGGTTTCAAAAAATTAAATACAAGCCCATGTATTTTTTATTCCAGCCATGAAAAAGTTACTGGTATCGCACCTGCCTTCCTGCTGTAAACAACTATAAAAGTGGACAAAATATATAAGTAATTGTTTCCGACATTGGACAATGGTCACAGCAGGCCTTTGATTCTCTAGAGAAGGAAAATATACATTGTGAGCCCCACAATTTTCTCAGCTTTTGGCTTGGATTATTTTCCTGCCTTAATTCAAGGAGATGGAGATCAACTTAAACTACAGTTTTGCTGAGCTGAGGATGCAGAGATTTCAATACTAAGCTACAAAAAAAGCTGTAATTTATAGGCCAGTTGGCCATAGAAGAGGTAGCTGTGGGAGGAAGTTGGGTGTAGAAGTCTACATAAGGATTTACTGCAGGTTCATGGCCAGTGTGAGTAGTGAGACTCATGTAACAGAGATTTCCCACTAAAGATCTAAGTGCTAAATGAAAATACTAGAGGAGCTGCAGTGATAGAAGATTTTGGAGTACCAGTGCAGAGAGACCTCACTGAGTACCTCAAACATTCAACTGAGACCCCAGACAGACCATGCTTTAAGAATAAGCAGCATGTCCTCAAAAAGGACTACATCTTAGGACGAAGCTCAAAGCTCTAATGGACCTGCCCTAAGATAGACTAGAACCAAGCATGACAAGAGCAAGATTGTTCATCATTTAAACTGACTAATAGGAAAAAAAAAAAAAAATCATTTCACCGATACAACATATAAGGCAAGAGAAACAAAGAAAAAAATGAACACATGGGACTACATCAAACTAAAAAGCTTCTGCTCAGCAAAAGAAATAACCATCAAAACAGAAAGGGATCCCACTATATGGGAGACCATAATTGCCAATGATGCATCAGATAAGGTGTTAATTTCCAATATATATAGAGTGCTCATACAACTCAACAAAAGGAAGACAAAGAACCCAGTTATAAAATGGGCAGAGGACCTAAATAGACACCTCTCCAAACAGGACATACAAATGGCCAAGAGACATATGAAGAAATGCTCAACACCACTAATCATCAGAGAAATGCAAATTAAAACAACTCTGAGGTATCACCTCACACCTGTCAGAATGGCCGCCATCAACAAGTCATAAAACAGCCAGCGTTGGCAAGGGTGTAGAGAAAAGGGGACTCTAGTACACTGCTGGTGGGAATGCAGACTGGTGCAGCCACTGTGGAAAACGCTATGGTGTTACCTC